GCCGAGGACAATGTTGAAAGACTTCATGTAAATAAAAAGGAGAATGGAAATGAGTCGACTACGTTCCACATTATAGTGACTCAGCATTCGAAAAACGTTTATAGTATACATGGAAATGCAAAGGGCGAACGAAAGCGTACGTCGGTAACAGATGTAAAAAATAAACTTTTAAACTGTTTACATTTCTCGACGTCTTCGTTTTTACTACTGAGTTGTAACTGCCTCAGGGAAGAGAGAAAAATAAATTCTGTGGCTGCTTGAAATTAATACAGATCCACAAAAGCAGATAGGATATATGATTTCAGCATCACATGAAAAAATCTCTCGTATACTAACAACTGACCTCAGAGTGAAACCGAAAGATATCAAAAATCTCATATAATATAAACATTGTAAATGTTATGTATCACTTGACATCAAAATTTATGCAGATTGCATATATTCTCTATTGCTTTATCGTAGCCCAGCCTTTTAATCAATGAACCAAGCAGAACAAATTAAGAAAAAACTAAGTATAACAATAGTAATAATAATTGTCGAAGCTTCGTCTATTAATCAAATATTTATCTTACTACAAAATATACCCAATAGAGGGCCCAGCATCCACTCATTTTAGAGTGTTTACTGGGTGAATTTGTAGTAAGAGCATAAAAAGAGGAGGTAAAAAGTTTATTTTATGAGAATATGTAGGATAGATAACGGCTGATTCTTAATTTCAAGAGGTGTCGGGGAAATAGCCACTTAAGAATTTGTCCCAAACGTTAACAGTTCTGTGGAATAAGTTAAGTGGAACTTCCTATTTTCGAAAGTTATACGGAGTGAATAAGAATGTCGTTCTTGTGTACGTGACATGGTTAGGAGTGGCGTCAGAGTAAGGGTAAGAAGTAATGTCCTGATGGAATTATGTAATGTATCTCGTCTGAACATTTCTGTGAAAATATCGCTATAGTAGCGAAAGGTTAGTAACGCTTCGCAAATTGGAAAGTCTTGTCTTACTAACAACGCTGCGTACATGCATTTGAATTTTTACCTATTTCAAGGATGGAACGTGAGCGCTAAAAGCTCCTTGCTAAATATGGCCTCCATAATTTTTGGCTTCATTTGTTGCGTGTAAAGATAGAGCAAGGCAGAAAGCTTAGATTGTATTAAAAAATATGGATCAATATTGTGAATTTCTTTCTTCGTCAATGAATTTACATAAAATAAATAGACAACACTTGTCTATATTATTTAATGAAAGGTGTATGAATATATATATATATATATATATATATATATATATATATATATATATATATATATATGTGTGTGTGTGTGTGTGTGTGTGTGTGTGTGTGTGTGATGATTTTATATATATATATATATATAAAATTTAGCAGAGTTAATCTGTAAAAAAAGACAATATTTATAAATATAAATGACAATTATTAGGTCAATTACTGTCACGTGTGTAGATATTGTTATTATTGCTGTGTTGGCGGATTCAACTATTTTCTTTTGATTTCACGATACTGTTGTGTACGTTTGTTTGGGAGAGTAGTAATTCTGTTATGAAAGGTGGAATAGGGAAAAAGTAATTGACGTAATTTTCAGTTAACAGTATGAAAATAGCGTTCTCTAAATTCTTCCAGTTGCTAAGGACATTTTGTTTTTGTTATTATTTAGTTAATTTGTGTAAATAAATTCATTTCGTAATTTGCCTTGAGAAAGTACACATTGGACGAAACGCTTCGGCAACTATTACAGTTTTCCTATTGTCATTTATATATATATATATATATATATATATATATATATATATATATATATATATCGACGACGTATGAGGGTCAGGCAGATCAGTTCCTAGGAAACCGACAGCCCGACAACAGCACATGAGATTTGATTATAGTGGTGAAGGTTTCGTGCAGGACGATTCACTCTTTTTGAAGGGCCGAATTCAGAGACCTGATGCACTATGTGCCACAGGGTCCCGAAAGAACCTCCGCAGGTTTTCAATTCAGAGTTGTCTTTCTCCTAGACCAGCTGCCATCCATGGCTACAGAACGCAGTCTGTCCTGCTATTTACCCATAGCTGGAGGGAGAAGAAGAGAATTCACAACTTTCCCAAGGCTATTAGCACAGAAGTGAATGTAATGGATTCGACTGAAATTCGAACTCGGCTATATGTGTTTGTGTAATAAACCATTAACATATACATTCTGGTTTCTTCGTATATTTCCTGTTTCACAAACTGTTTCTATATAAATATTGATGATAATAATAATGGTTTCTACTGCTGATGTTGCTGCTGCTGCTGCTGCTGCTGATGATGATGATGGTTAAAAGTGCCAGGAAAGTGAATATTTAAAATAGTCTTTCTGTTTTAATTATCGAGTCTTAATGATTGGATAATTATAAGAAGGCACTTTCGAGCCCGGATTTGTTTTGTCTCAGCTGCCCAGTGAACTACCAATTTATTCGGGATTAATTGCTGATGTCTCTTCGTTGGGAGATTTTCTGTCTAGTACTTGTTGTTTTCGCTAAATGTGGGAGCGATGGATGTACATTATAATAATAGACAATAAATTGATAAGGGGAGAAAAGACAGTCAAAAACAAAAGGAAAAAGTAAAGTAAATGAGGATTTACGAGTTATGAAACGAACAAGTGTTATAAAAGTAAGATAATGAGGCAAAATAATTATAATAATAATAATAATAATAACAGTTATTATTATTATTATTATTATTATTTTTATTATTATTATTTTCTTTGATTTCTGACGTTTATACATTTCTTTCCGGGTCCCGCCTAGGGACCTAAGTTTAGAAATGGCATCATGACACTTTCCACTGACAAGAAAAAAAAAAAATTAAAAATTACATAGATAAATCCCTTCGTAATGTGTGGGCTGTACTTATTATTATTATTATTATTATTTTCTCTTGCTTCCAAGATACCACATCTGTTGGCAACTTCTGACACAAAAACACGTCTCTTGAAATATCCCTCAGGGAATTGAGAGCAATTCATTGTAGGAATCCCTGGTAGCCCATGCCTTAAAAAAATACAATAACATTGTACTCCCAAGTACAGACCACACCTAGGAAAATTGTACTCTCAAGTACAGACCTCACCTATAGATTTTAATGTATCTTTGGAGATTTTCAAAAATATAACAAAGTACGAGAATCTTGAAGTGGAAATCAAAGAGATTTGGACCATGATATCATCAGTAATTCCACTTTTAATTGGAACAATCGTATTAATTGGAAAATGTTCCGATTGACCCATTCAAGGGATTCTTGGTAGCCCATGTCTTAAAGAAATAGAAAAAAAATTACTCCCAAGTACAGCTCAGAAATGACGTAGAGCTTTATACATGTAAAATGCATGTGATCTTAGGTTCATTTTTACAAATATGATCAGTAGAAAATATAATTAAGTGATTTCTATCCTTATGTCACTGGTTGGGATCTGAAAGAAAATGTGTTCACAAGAGAAATCAAATTATATAATAATAATAATAATAATAATAATAATAATAATAATAATAATACAATGCGAAAAAGAATAAAAACAATAAACGAAGGAATCTTGAAGAAATTAACTAGGAAAGAAAATTGTAAACTTAAATGCTTTTAAAATACAGCGCGGACGGAAAATCGTAGACATTGTTAAAAAAGTTCTTTGCTAATGTGAAATGGAGAAAAAATAAACGTTTATCAGGAGAAAATACATCGAAGCGAAGATTGATAAAATATAGAACGCAAAACAGCCCAAGCCACATCTGAGCTGTAAAGGTAAACTGCATAATAAACGAATGTAGCAAACTGTCCCAGTCACGTTGGAGTAACTGACGAATTCTCGTTAAAAATTAATTTTATATCACAAGTGCTCTTACTCAGTTCTTACTGACAATTGCTAGAGGTGTATGAATGCATATCAATGGTGGCCTTAGATATGACGAGAACTAGCAGGAAGTTAGACAAACATCAAACATATCGCAATTACGCGTGGACGGGAAGATAAGCTCTAATATACATATGAATAGATTACAGAGTATTGTATAATTCAAATTATTATCAGCATAGAAAAATTCCTCATTTCTTTTGCTCAGATTAACTTATTTCGAAAAAAAACAGAAAATCTTATGAAAAATATAAATGTGTATATATCACCTGGTAAATTTGTTCGAGAGTTGAAAAAATAATACTTTCGCTAATGCCATAACTTCATCTGCTGCCAATTCTGGTTGGCTGAGAGCCAGGTTTGGAAATTTATTAGTTGTACTGGATTTGATGAATTAGGCCAAATTCAATTTGAAAGGTCACACTAGAAAATAGAAGATATATGTTTAAAGAATACAGACATTTTTGTTATAATATCAATCGGATTAAATCTGTTATTTAAGCAGCAGATGTGGTCCTTTAGTCTTGGCTGGCAGCCAGTCTAGGAGAATGGCAATTCTGCATTCAAAGTCTTAAATAAAGTAAAATAACTTCACTCAAGTGTTTTCTCTTGAAATATCACAATGATTAAACCATGTGTTTATTGTCTGCGAATTAAAATATTGAGACCTATGGTACCTTAAAATTATACGGTGCACGTACGTTCACAGAAAAAATATCCTATGTTATTTACGCCAAAAATGTTTAATTATAACGTTGTTGAAATGCTTAAGAGAATTCAAGGAACGAGCAAAAACCTGAAGATTATATAACATGACCATGATTGTGAAAAGGGCAACAAAATAAAGACATACACTGTTTGGGAGTCCTACTAGACCAGTGAATTGTCTGAAATACGAGCTAACCTTTCTCTATTGCAAACATATTTTGCCGAACTGAAACTGACATGGTTTCGAAATATTGTGCCATTCACTGATGATTGAAGTTTACTACGTTAGCGAATAGCTTTAGACAAGATCCATAAGCTGCACTTTTTGTTGCGGCCATGCGTGACATTCAATTTTGAAATACTAAGACATGTAACAATAAAAAGAGATATAAAAAAAACTGGATAACAAGAGAAAATGAGATGAAGAAAAAAACAGAGACAAAATGCAATAAGGAAATCCAAGAATAGAAGAAACAGGAGGTAAATGAAAGAAAATATAATAAGGAATTGGCAATAAAGAAAAAAGAAATATATATTTTGGAATTTTTCCAAAAAAGAAAATAAACGAGATACAAGCAAGAAGAAAAAAATATTTAAAAAAATGCATGACAACGAAAGGAAAAATGGCAGATAGAAAAAGGAAAAGAAAATGGAACCTGGAAATCCAATATAAAACTGAATATATAATTAAATAAACAAAAACTTTGGTACGAAAGAAACAAATAACAGAAAAAGAAGGATATGGAAATGAAGACGTTTTCAAAGAGAAGAAAAAATAAACGAAACCGAAACATAATAAGAAGGAAGAAATAATTAAGTGAGAAAATCGACAAAGAATAAAAAATTAAAATTGAAGAATTATAAAAGAAAAATATGAAATAAGGAAAAATATGGGGAAAATGGACAAACCCTAATGGAAAGAATGCGAAATGACACAGAAAAAGGGGATAAAATGAAAAAAAAAACGTTGAGAAAGAAAGTGTAAAGGATAAAGACAAAGTAAAAAAAATGTGAAAACAATAAAAAGAAAACAAAAATATAGTATACCATGAAAGTAAGTTTAAAATGGAAGAAGACGAAAAACGAAAGAAAAAAAAATGAATATAGGAATAATAAAAATGAAGGAAAAGGAAACGAACTAAGAATAAATTTAAATAAAATGTCAGGCAAAGAATAGAAAAATAAGAAAAGAAAACAAGTAATTTTACTTCGGAATGAAAAACAAATAATGAAAATAAAAGGGAAAGAACACTGTGGAAAGAAGAAAAAATAGAAAAGATTAAATGTTAAAAAGAAAGAAATAAAGAAAAATGTAAAGGAACATAAGAAGAAAGAAAATAAGGAACAAAAATAAAGAAAATATAGAACAAAAAAGAAAGAAATTAAGGAATAAAAAAGGAAGACAATAAGGACCAAAAAAGAAAGAAATTAAGGACCAAAAAAGAAAGAAATTAAAGAACAAAAAAGAAAGAAAATAAGGAACAAAAAAGAAAGAAAATAAGGAACAAAAAAGAAAGAAATTAAAAAAAACAAATAAAAAAGAAATTAAGAAACAAAAAAAAAAGAAAACAAGGAACAAATTTGCAAAAAGAGGAATCAAGAATGTAGAAGAAAAATACATGGAATGTTTTACAGAATAAGTAATAAGAAATTAAAAATAAATGTCAGAGAAAAAACTGGAACAAATAAATAAATAAGGACAAAATTTGAAGCTGGCATCAGCTGTTAATCAATTAACATTCTTTGTTGTCTAAGGTCTTAACACTAATTATGTTCGTTTGTTTCAGAAAACAGCCTTTGTAGAAAGTTGATCATTTTCATTCTTTCTTGCTGAACTTAACAAAATCATTCGTACGTAAATTTCGTCTCGCCCTCCGGGTAAACAGGACCACATAACTGGAAATCTTCCTGAATTCCGCTACATGACAACGACGTACAATTGATTTGGAAGTGACAAAGGAAAATAGGACATTTGGAGAATCCCTGGCAATGGTAATATTAACCGTTTACATATATGGAGTGTTTCTGGTTCCAATAGCAGAGTAGCCATTGGAACTCTCGGTTGAAATTTATAAAATCTTTCTTTTAAAACGATTTTTTCAGTAAAATACCTTTCTCATGGCCGCTAACTCTTTATCTGAACTTTCCAATATATAAGAGACTTCCTTAACATTTTATGTGACATAGTTTAGACCATCGTCATCTTGATTATGTCAATATTTTCTCGTCGACTTACATGTGCTCTTCAGTTTCAGCCTATTCTATATTCAATTTTTCCGTAAACCCTCTAATAAATTTTTTATAGTTGATATATACACCGAGGTGTTACATGTGGTTTACTAATTTCACATGCTGACTTTTTTATGATGGATACAGTATAACTGTCATAAATCATTTTTTTCTTGTTATGCCTTATAAAAACTATCATTCTCTTCCTATTCTCAGACTCAGTTAGAGTAACTTTGTCTCAATGCACTTCTACACTTGCTTGAATTTTGAGTTAGAAATAAGTCTCTCTTGAGTGATATTCATCCAACTCTGTCTATGGCTTCTGCTATCATCTCTAAACTGGATCACCACAAAGTATGTGGTCGTAATGATATCCATGCAATAGTCTTCTTCTGAACTGACTCTTGTTCTCTCCAAACTATACAATAAATGCATTGCTACATCTTGCTTTCCTACATATTGAAATTCTTTTCTGTAGTTCCAGTCTTTAAGAAATCGGGCCAACCCTCTGATCATTGTAACTATCGATCTATTAGTTTTCTATCTCTTTTTGGTCAGTTACTAGAGACCCTAATCAACTCTGAACTGGTTAAGTCTCTAACCTTGCAGGGTCTTATTTCAGATAATTTCGGTTCTTTATGTCAACTGCTGATGTTGCTGAAAGAGACTATCAAGCTATAGGTAAGAGGCTGTTGCACGGGATATCTCGAAAGCATTTGACAGGGTTTAGCATACTTTTTTTTAATTGAAAAGGCATAATATTTATGGATGAATTATTTTACTGATTCAATCTTTCTTATCAAATCGTGAAATGAAAGTTGTCAACAACGGTCACTCTTCTAGATCTATTTGCATTAATACAGTTTTCCCCAAGGCTATATACTTGCACATAAGTTGTTCTTTTTATCAACATATGATTATATCCTGCTAAGTAGATATTATGTGAATAGATTGAAAGTCAAATAAGTAGGGAGATTAATAGACTGAATTCAAACGATAAGAATAATCATATATAAACAGCATTATGGCTATGCATAAACAGAGATAAATGGAAATAAACTGAGATAGATAGATAGATAGATAGATAGATAGATAGATAGATAGATAGAGTATAGCAAGAAATAACAAATATTGTCCATTTTTATTTGACTTTACATAAACATTTGAAGAAATAACAATCATTAGAAGACCGGATCTATAGTTGTCAATAAAAGAAAGAAATTAACATGCGAAATATAAACTGAAGATGCCAAAATTAAGCATGTACACACATCTTGATATCTACGAAGGCAAAACCGAAATTCGAAGGCGCATTTGAATAGCGAAAATTGCCTTCCAAAATCTAAGCAAAGTATTAAGGGAAAAGAAAAGAAAAGGGTACAGAAATATTATGTAATATTAATCCACTTATATGACAGTGAACGGTTGACAATCTCCTCTCAAATGAGACGAAGCTTGAAGCGAAAGAAAAGTGGTTCTACAGAAGGATGCTGAGAATATCATGGACTAAACATGTGAGCAATGACGAAGTTCCACAGAAAGTGAAAACAATTATACATAACATCAGTTAGAAAGAGTTAATATTTCTAGGACGCATAATGAGGAAAGACTGATTAGAAAATTTGACACTCACAGGACAGGTTAAAGGCAAGAAGTGCAGAGGAAAAATAGCGAATATAAACGATCTTTGGAAGAACAGGGATTAGGAGAGATATAAAAAGACAAAGATGACCGAGTTGCGGTGAATAGGGTATTCTGTAGAATCATGATCGGCCACGTCCTGAACTGATGCGACCTATAGAAGAAGAAGAAGAAAGAAAGAAATAGAAGAAGAAGAAAGGAAAAAGAATGATGAGAAGAAGAAGAAGAAGAAGAAGAAGAAGAAGAAGAAGAAGAAGAAAACAATAAGAAGAAAAAGAAGAAAAAAGAAGACGGAAGAAAAGAAATAGAAAAAAGAGATAGAAAAAAAGAAGAAGAAAAAGAAGAAAAGGAATAGAACAAGAAAAAAAAAAGAAAAAAGGAAGTCTGATTTTTTTAAGATTATTGTTGAAATTTTGCATGTAAATTCTCTTGTTATCTTCAAAGTCGTTTCATCCTCTCATTTCTTCTCCAGCGTATATTTTTATTTCTTTACTTTCGTTATACTTTGTTTTACATATCATACAATTGAATTATCTTTTTCTGACAAACTATTAAAGTCATATTCAAATAATTTCTTACTAAAAATATCTACAAAAGCTGGTAAATCGAAAATTTTTTATGTTCCTTCATTGAATATTATACATCTTAATTTGAATCTCTTATTCTAACTTCTGATTTAAAAATCTTTCTCATTTAAACCCATTTAATACAGTCTAGACTTTGCCTTTAATAACTTAATTGCTTATATCGTATGGCATGATCAGTTATTCTTCTCGAAAATTCGTTCCGGATTTAAGCAAATTTACCTTTTTTAAAAACACGCTTTGGGACATTTCGCTTTATCCTCAAAGGCGTTAGTTAGATCCAGTGACAGTACCCAAAGAATGTGATTTCAATACCCGGTTAAGTCAGTGGAGAACTTGGAGAGGGGAATTAACAAGTGATAACTGACAACTGACATCCATTAAAACATAACACGTGGAACTAGAACAGTCTACCCAGAAATAAAGGGTTCAGTTCGACATTCCAACAACTTGAAGAAGGCCAGAGCGTACATCGGCCGAAAAGTTGTAATAAATATGGCGACAAAGATGCGAACAACAGTCCGAATAATGTAAATATTGTACATAATACCTCATCTCAGAAATATACACAGATGCTGAAAGGCCGTAGAGTACAACGGCCGAAAAGTTGTAATAAATATGGCGACAAAGATGAGGACAATAGTCCGAATAATATAAATAGTGTACATAATACCTCATCTCAGAAATATAGTTACTGATAGAAATGTTTCCGAGATATCCCATGCAACAGCCCGAATTTCACTATTCTTGTCTAGATATTCTCTTTCAGCAATAATCGCTAATACATCAGAAGCTGACATAGAGACTCGGAAGCCATATTGCTTATCTGAAAGAAGACTCTGAGAGGACAGAGTCTTAACCAGTTCAGAGTTGATTACGGCATCTAGTACATTGCTATAAAGATGTAGAAAGCTAATAGATGGATCGTTAGAAATATCAGACGGTTAGCCCGAGTTCTTAATTATTCGAACTACAGAAAAGGATTTCCAACATGTAGGAAAGCAAAAAGCAGCAATGCATTTATTGTATAGCTTGGAGAGAACAAAAATCAGTTCAAGAGGACATTTTTTCTCGCGTATTCGAGAAATTTTAATAAATAAAGATAGCTCTCCGTCGTATATGTGTGTATCAATTTAAAATAATAGTTGATATCTCATTATTTACACATCTTCTGTTCATATCAATCATGCTATGACTTCTGTGACGAATAAGGTTGACTTTCTTTCCTCTGTCTTTTGTCTCAATTCGTACGCATGTTATTTTTTTTTAGATGTCGCATTCCTTAATTCTATTTTCTAAATAATCAGTGTCATTCTTCAAATGTTCTGACACTTAACGGCATCAAATTGACGCAGTTATTTTATGTAACATCGTACCGACATGAACTTCTTGTCAAAAAGACAAACCTAAACAAAGTTTACTGAACCTTAAATCACGTTAGGCTTGACAAAGAAATCATTATGTTCATTTTACGCTGACTAATCGTCATAATTACCGTTGTAATTACATGAAATGCTTTGTGTGTTCCGTTTGCATCGCACTTGAAGGAGGTACGCGAGCCAGATGACTCGACTTTATATTTTGAAACGTTTATTAATGGTGTTAGATTTCGCGTTAGAGACAGAAAGAGAAAACCAAATTACGGCGTTGTAGAAATAGTGAAGTGAAGAAGCAACGAGTGATAAATAGAAAATGAAGACAAGCAGACGAGGATTAGAAATTAGACAAAATGCAGGGGGAATATTTTTGAACTAGATTCAAAGAATGGAAAGTGACAAAAAGATAAGAAAAATGAAAGCAAAGATTGGAAAAGAGAGAATTATGAAGTAAGAAAAGTTAGTTAAAGAGAGAGAGAATATGTGTGTGTGCGCGTTTGTGTGTGTGTGAGAGAGAGAGAGAGAAAGAAAGAGAGAGAGAAAGAGAGAGACCAGAGGGAAAATGAAAATAGACAATTCTAAACAAAAATAAGAGAAATACAAGATAAATCAAATCGTATTTAAATTATATATTTTTTTTAATTTTGAGATTAGATTTTACAAGTATTAATAATTTATTAATTTATCTAATAGTACTACAAAGAAAAGAGTACTGAATTTCTATGTATGAATATATTTGTATAGCTGGCCAGCCGTATTCGAGGATACGTGTCAACTACGGCATCTAGAAA